TAATGGTATTTTTATATAAGAATAAAATATTTACTGTATGATTTTAGTAACCGAAGGCGCATATATATTTAAGAGTACTTCTTTTTTAAGATTGTCTGACGTAAACACTGCTAGTTTCCTTCAAAATCGTCTACACAACTTGTGTTTTGTTCATACACAGGTAAATCATTCAAATGCGGCCTGTATACAAATGCGTTTACTAAAAATTTTGTGTTGAAATGAAACGTTTCATTGTCAATGTGGCAAATGGCTTAAATTCTCGAATAAGTCAATGATTCGAATGAACTGGTAATAATAAAGGTTTGAACTAAATTGATTACTGAATAATATTCCTGTTTGGTATGTTAATTACCAATAACTGAAGGTTCCAAATCAAAGAATACACATCTAGGCACAAGTTTGCCGTGCCCGGTGTCACTGTAAAAGGTTCTGTAGTTGGTATCATCCGTCAGATAACTATCGTGCATAAGTCCGTCTGTGCCGATTCCATGTTCTAGGCCAAAGAGCTCCCAGCAAGCATTGCCGATTTGGCATCCAGCCTGGCCAATGTGAATGCAGATGATCTCTCGATCGCTAGCCTATGATGGAAAAATCAACATGGGAAAAATGGAAAAACACAAGATTTATTTAATAAAATCGAAATTATATTTCTTTTCTTAAATAATCCGTTGACCACACTCAGTTGACTAAGGGAATAAGATCTTTGATAATGTAATTTATTTCCTTAAGTGAATTGACTAGGCCTAAAACTGCTCTTATATTTCAATTAGCCTTACCTACTAAAAGATTTTCTCATCCAGACTGGGGCGCAGTTTCTGTCTCGCCCAGGTCTCATCAATGCCTTTAGCGGGATATGAAACATGGTCATACGCACCTAGGCCACACGCTATGATGTCTCACAGTCACAGGGAAAATGGGAATTTCAAAACAAACTAGTTCTTTTTTTCGTTTATAAGTCAGCCCACTAGATATGATGTAGGTGCTTTTTGAACCCTATTTCGTTCAAGGTGACGAGAGACGAGTAAGTAAATTTTTTCACGATTATGTGAATATTCTTCGTTTTCATTCAACTTCACAAAGCCTTGCTACGAAAAATATATTCTCATTTGGGGTGAACTGCAGTTTTTACCTCGCATGAATATCATACTCACTCTCCGTGGGACTCGAAGCAGCTTAGTGCAACGTATGATCACGATACGTTAACCACCAGGCCACAAAGCCATGAATACGTGTTTTTCACACATGCGTGTTAATTTCAAAGAACCGTAATACTTTTACACATC